CTCGTCAACTATGCGAGGATCTCCCTACCCTGAGAACTTTTCGGCATGATAGTCGCAGAACTGCGCGACCACTGTAGCCTGAGCAGGAACTGGATGATCGGGTTCCCTACGTGGCGGCATCTAAACATTAAGAAAGTTTAAAATTATTGAACTCGTGATGATATTCTGACTTATTACTGAGGCACACAAATCTCATGACGAGTAGCCAAAAATGGGCGATAAATACTGACATGAAACCTGAGGAACTCTAGAGTCATATCGAAAGATACTAAAGTCTAGAGTCATGTCTGAGTATACTGATCTCTAAAGTCAGGTCTGAATATACTGATTTCTAGATTTATATCTGGACTATAAAGTCTGAATCTGAATCGAGCATCTTAACTAAGTCTGATCACTGATTTCTGAGCATAGACAAAGTAATATGTTTATAACTAAAAAACTGAATCAGCACTTACCTGGAGTCGGCGAGGCGTGAGCGTGACGGTTCAGGTTTTTTTTTCTGAAAATTTCTGACTGAAAAACTTTTCAGAGACGCAGAAACGTGCTCCGATACCAATTGTAACACCCCGACTTTTTACTATATCAGAGTACGCTATTTTTTGCAATTTTCTGAATAAATAAATAAAATACTTATTTTGCGAAAACTGATTCGGGATGCTACCGTGAAAAACTTAATTTTTCTGAAAACCGTTAAAATTTTAAACTGATAATTAAAAACGGTTATAAAGTCTTATCCGACTAACGTCGGAACAAAAACTGATAATAAGTAATGAAAGTTTTAGCGGAAGTCAAATGTGGCAAAACATATATACATATAATCACAAAAGTCCTGAACAGCCCGCCTGCTCATTCCTCGTTTCCGACCCTGCGACCTGAAAAACATGAAAAGTGAGGGGCGTGAGCACTAAACACTTGTGCTCAGCAGAAACTCATACTAATGTAAACATCGTAAATAATAACAATACCATGAACTAAGCATATATAACTGAACTGAAACTGAACTGATATCTGATACCGGTC